AACCTTACAATTAAAAATAAAATATTATTCAATATAATATAAAATATTTATTAATAATATACATATGTTTTTATATATATAAATATTAAAATTGAAATATTGAAATATGTTCGTCGTCGAGAAAATATAAGTGTCTACGTGATTGATTTCGGGGAAGTAAGTGTCTAGGTGTTCGCCGTCGAGGAAGTGGGTGTCTACGTGTTTGCCTTCGAGGAAGTGAGTGTCTAGGTGTTCGCCGTCGAGGAAGTGAATGTCTAGGTGTTCGCCGTCGACGAAATAAGTGTCTAGGTGTTCGCCGTAGAGGAAGTAAGTGTCTACGTGTTCGGCTTCGAGGAAGTGAGTGTCTAGGTGTTCGTCGTCGAGGAAATGGGTGTCTAGGTGTTTGTTTGTTTGTAAGAAACGTCGTCGTCGTCGTCGTCGTCATCGTTATTGTTGCCAGTTACGAAGTGAGAAAATACATTCTGGAATTTTTGGCGCAAGAGATAAATGTGGTCGCGAGACGGGTATCTATAAATCACATCGATAGCATAGACGAACACGTAAGTGAAGTTAGAATAAATATCGACCGCTGCGATCTGTACGATGATCGTTAAAGTCAGATAAAGAGCCTCGGCAATAACAAAGGATTGAGGTTAGGAAATCTATCACATCGATGGCATAGAATAGACGAACACGTAAGTGCGGTTAGATATTTTCTGCTTTATTACACAAATTCTCTGCTGTAATTCCGCTGTAAGAATACAAATTATTTTCTATATAATTATTTTCTTTTTACAGCATTTGGTTAGGTTGCTTATTTACCGAGACACTACCGTGTCTCCAGATCTGTTATTTATTTGTTTGGTAGATACCTTAATTTGTATTCCCTATTCCTTATATAATTATAAGGATTGATTCTTTGTGCTTGTTGATAGGAAAAGTCTGAAAAAAAAAGGTATCGATTTAAAAGACTCTTACCTTTTCTTTTCAGGATTTTCCCTTCAATAAACCTGAAGATAAAATACAGCACAAAGAATCAATTCTCTTATAATAATAAAGATAAAACTTATTTGATACAGTTACTCAAAACATAAAATTACTTGGTTTTAGTATTGAAATCTTTAAAACTTTAAATAATTATCAAATAATGAAATATATTTTCATGGAAAGTAACTGATATATTATTGAAGGTGCCAGTTCAAAGTGAACATTCATAAAATGTAAATCCTTTTCTTGCATATGTACGTAATAATGATTTAACGCATGTATACTAGTTGTTTATAATATTAATGTCTTAAATCATTATTACGTATATATGCAACAAAAGAATATATACTTTATGTATGTTTACTTTGAACTGGCGTCTTCAATAATATATGAGTCATTTTTCATGGTAATATGTACCATTTCATTATCCTTCAATAATAAAATGTATTACGTTAAAATAGACAATTTGGTATAAGAATTCTTTTAAAATTAATATTGATCTTTTGTGATTTATATTTAAAAAACTGTTATATATATTATACAGTTTAATCTCTCACCTAGAACACTATATTTTATTCAAGATTTTGGAGTGTAAGTTATAAGTAGTTTTCAATCACGTATATCTTCATAAGTATACATTTACAAATTATTATTCTAATTAATAATTATTATCGTGAAGAAGGATTGTTCTGATAATTAATTTCGTAATAACATATACCAAAAAAATCTATTACCTATAATCAAATACGCCAATAAACGTAATTTTTGAAAAAAATGATTGAAATTATTTAAATTATTTATATATTTTGCAGGTACACAATTTAGATGTAATTGATCAAAATGGTATTCAATTGGGAGGAAGAAATACCTATAACGATAATAATGTAAAGATATTAGAGAGATCTGAGTACATTGAAAGTTCTTGATGCCAGTGCTATAATCTTGGATGTGACTAATGCAAAGCTCGTCGACAATAATGTTGCCCTAAATAAAAGTACATTAAATTCTGAAGGTAATATGATGCAACCGACAATTATGACGTTAGAAAACAAACTGATATATTATTGAAGGTGCCAGTTCAAAGTGAACATTCATAAAATGTATATCCTTTTGTTGCATATATACGTAATAATGATCTAACAACACATGCACACTAGATGTTTATAATAATAATGTTAAATCATTATTATTTCGTATATATGCAACAAAAGAATATACATTTTATGTATGTTTACTTTGAACTGGCACTTTCAATAGTATATGAGTCATTTTTCATGGTAATAATGTATAATCCTCACAATATTAGTTACTAATTATAATAATAATTTGTAAATGTGTGTTTATGAAGATACACGTAATTGAAAACTGGTTAACTCACACACATGTGCTCCAAACTCTTGAATCAAATATAGTGTTCTAGGTGAGAGATAGAAATAACAGTTTTGTAGATTTCAAAAATGACTCACATAAGATCAGTATTAATTCAAAAGAATTCTTATGTACTCCAAAATCTTGAATCAAATATAGTGTTCTATGTGATCAAAATAACAGTTTTTTATATTTTAAAAATGAATCACAAAAGATCAATATTAATTTTAAAAGAATTCTTATAAAATTGTTTTACCATATTGTGTGTCTACTTTAGCGTAATACATCTTCATTATTGGAAGATAATGAAATGGTAAAAAACCTTAGCATACATAATGTGTTATTCAAGTCAGACGTAAGATTCATGGCCGGCGACTATTATGTTGAGGGTGTTGAGAACTCAACACCCAGTCGGTTATAGGGTGTTGTTTTCTACACCCTATTAAGGTGACAAAATGTAATGAATTATGTTGGAGATTTTATAAAGTATACTTGTATTCTTTTCAATACTCATAGCGTTTTCCACTGGCGCACTGAGTGGGCACTGAGTGTCAAATTTCAAATTCTTCAAATCAAATTCGTCGAATCGAACGATGGGAAAGTGACGGTACGCGATTCAAACTGAATTTTAAAAAAATATTATTGTTATTTTAGGTAGCAAAATACTAATTTATTTAATTTGTTTATTTTAGACATAACCCCAAATTACACTTTTGACGTGTTTGACGATGAAATTACCAGTGGAACACGAAACTTTTGGCACTCAGTGCGCCAGTGGAAAACGCTATCAATGTTTTGAGTATTTTCGCGGGAATTAGAGAATTTTCAAATAGGCCTATCGCCGAATATTGTGAGGATATAATCCGCGCTTCGGAAAGATTTCTTCTCCATCGTCCGACCGCCCCGACTGACACCTGTGTGCGAGCAGCTTAACTAGCTAGACTCAAATCCAATATGGCAGAAAGCCCTTGACGCGGCAATTTCACGTGGAGCATACTTCATTATTTGTTCTAATCAATAGATCAAATGCAACAAAATGGATAAGTTTATTATTCGCAAACAGAAAACAGATGCTGTTATTGATCCAGGAAGTATTTCAAATGATAATAAACGGTTTCGTGCATGTGATTCATCGACATCCGATATTTTGCATAATTCTAACTTTAAAAAAGCAAAAGTTGATTCAACTGATTCCGATCTAATTAATGAATCATCCAAGTCTTCCAACATCCAAATCCAATCTCATGCAACTCCTTCACAAAATGATATTTGCTCCACAACTTCCCGTAAGTAATTAAGTATTCTAATCTAAGTAATGAATTGGAAAAATACTTTGTTTACTATTCCTAAAATTAAAGCATTTACGTCGATGTTTATGTGCTTTATATCTTTAATCCTAATACATGTCCATTTTTTCTTGAAAATTGTATAAATAAATGTTTGTTTCCTTTGTTAATTATTGAAGGCAATTTTCTTATTTTTGTATATAGCGTATGAATTAAAACAAATAAATATAAACTAATTTAATAAATACAAATTAATATAAAATAAAGACAAATTTGATCATTTAACCTACAAATTAATTTATAAATAATAATTTAGGATTTACATAATGATTAAATGTTGGACTTTGGTGAAATATATATAGTTGAATATTGACTTTGATCAATAATGTATTACTTATATAGACAGATTAATTTATTAGTCATATTGATATATTTTTTATTTCATAATTGAGAAATAAGTTATAAAGGAGGAGGGTCAATAAGGCTGATTTTTGGGCTGAAATGTCGCACTTTTTCCATTGTATTTTTGAATAGTAGATATCAAGAGCTTCTCAAAACACCCTATTTAAACCCTTTTTCGATGGGATAAACGATAGTTACGATCGATCAAAGTTAGAGTAATATTGCTAAATGGGAATTATTTTACTCTATCAAATCTTTAAGAAATAAAAAATTTCTTAAGATGCTCGTTATTATGAGTTTACGAAGGTTGCTGATCACGAATCAAACATCAGTTTACAAAGATTCAATATGGCGGATGCAAGATGGCGGACGACTTTTTTCAAAATCAATCCAATTCGCATGAAACTTGTTAATTGGGGGTTCATAGAATCGCTGATCACGAATCATACATCAGTTATAAACAATTCAATATGTCGAATGCAAAATGACGGACGATTTTTCTAAATATGAATTCAATTCCTATGAAGCTCGTTACTCGAGGTTTTCGATGATCGCTGATCACGAAGTTGATGCCGGATTTGCATCAGATAGTTGGAGATTTGCTGATTACGAATATATCATATTTTGATAAGAGTATTTGTTTTTTTTTACCCTCCTCTTTTTAAATACGGGCTTGGGACCGTCACTGGCAGAGTTACTTTTTTTTTGTTTTTTATTTATTTTTTTTTAAATCATTTTTTAATTTTTTTTATTTTTTAAACTATTTTTTTATTTTTTTTTATTTTTTAAATATTTTTTAGGTTTCTAATTATATTATAAAAAAGGGAAAACATTAACTCATATTTTTTTCAAGTCGAATACATTCAAGAAGATTCACTGCTTGATTCATCATCTGTCCAGCAAGATGATGCATCCATGACGTGATTGTTAAACTTTTCTGAGGGTTTGTTTGTGCTGTTGATTTCATATCGTGCGTATGCAAGGTACCACAACACACTTGCACACTGGGCACAGCATCCTACCACCCTAGCGCCAGCCTTACATTGACAGTACCAACCAGCAATGGGATTGATTCCAATGTTGTACTGAATCCATAAGTTGTAGAGTTTTGATGAAGTATGTCGAGATTGAATCTGAAGTCTGATTATGGATCTCTCCTGTTTGTGAATGAAAAGAGAGTACATACCATCATCGTGTAAGTGCTCAAATGTGTAAGACTTAGCCTGCTTAATCTGGTATACACCCAATGTTAATAACGTTAATTCATCCATAGTTAGTTTTGGGAAATCATTAAAAGCGTCATGTGTTAAAGGTTCCCAAATGACTCGCTTTTTTCCCCAACCCTCAAGTTCAACAAGTTCTTGCAGATGATTGGGTTGTGAAACTAATTGCATCATGCGATTTCCAATTATCTCATCCTCTGGCTTGTTTTGGGCACGAGGGGGTCTAAAGGCATTACATAAAGCACAAACAATACGAACATATTCACCAATGTAGGGTATTTGACTATTTGGAAAGACATGATCTAGAGCTTTCCAGGTTTTTATTAAGCCATTGACTGCTTCAACAACCCATCGAACTTTAGTAACTAGTCTCGATTCATTTGCTTCGAGAGTGCTATGTTGCTTTCCTCTTTCTAAGAAATGAGGCATTTTTGATACAAGATTAAGATCTTCCAGTAAATAAAGGCAATCTCTAAATCCACGATCAACAACAAAGACATCATTACTTTTCAACCACTGGCGTAATTTCGTAGAGTCTGATTGAAGCAATGCTGTAAAAATATTCGCATCATTGTTTTTTCCGTTGGCATAATATGGACCTAAAACATCTAGTATATAGCCAGTAGTCGTAACTATCATCATGGGTTTAACTAGAGGTCGACCTTTATGTACAGAAAAAGTTTTTCTCTGGAACGAGTAATTAGAGCTTTTTTGAATATAAACATAAGTTCCATCAGCTACGAGAATAGCTTCGTCTTGATTATTCGTGAAAAGGGTTTTAGCCATGGCAATTGTATGCTTACTGATAACTTCCTCACGTGAAATGTGTTCAATGCCAAGATATCGCGGAACAAAACATTTAGATAGAGCTTTTCTAGCAGTTGCAATCGACCGACCAATCTGTCTTTTATCCATTGCGAAAAGAGTGGATAAGATGGAATGTGAAAGACCTGTACGCAACTTCATTAAACATAATGCTACACACTTTCGCGGAGAACGATTTGTAGTATGTCGTATGTTGTCTCGGACGCATTCAAGTACGTGGTCAAATTGACTTTTACATAAACCTGTTAGTCGAGAATAATCTTCATCAGTTAGGGCGGTACAATTATCAAAATCTAAACCGGCTTTCCTTGCCTGTTGTCGGAGAGCACTTAGAAGTTCCATTAACTCATTGGCATTTAGATCGGAAAATGGCAATAATTCCATCATATTGACTGCCCTGTCAGTCAAGAATTCATCCTCTAAGTGAATATTGCAAGATCTAGAATTTGATGGAATAAGAATACCATAATCAACAAAGACCTTTAATCTTGCCTGAGGAGTAATTCTATTTCGACCATTTACACTTTTGCAAATAATACACTTTGACTGATCAGAGTGGCATCTCGAAATTGGTAACCTGACCTTTTTTACGTTAGTTGGGCTTTCAGTCGAATCTTCATTTTCGTCAGGTTTATCATTGTCTTCATCAATAACATATGTAATTTTTCTTTTACTCAATAGACGACAACTATCGCATACCTTAGCATTAATTTCAAGCGGAGTATTATACATACTTTTCAATGCATTCAACGATGCTTCATCCGTAATTCGCGTCATTCGGCGATCACTTTTAATCTTTCTATTACAGGAAGGACAAAGAGGCAGTTTAGGCATTTTGAATTTTATAATGTCTTACTGACTGGTATTTATACTGTAGCTAAATATACTATTTTCAATAAAAAAAATATCGAATCTATGATTTTAAACTTTTATAACACTCTCGGTTCTATAAGCAAAGTTTCATACGAATTGAATTGATTTTGAAAAAAGTCGTCCGCCATATTGAATTGTTCATAACTGATGTTTGATTCGTGATCAGCAACCCTCGTAAACTCATAATAACGAGCATCTTAAGAAATTTTTTATTTCTTAAAGATTTGATAGAGTAAAATAATTCCCATTTAGCAATATTACTCTAACTTTGATCGATCGTAACTATCGTTTACCTCATCGAAAAAGGGTTTAAATAGGGTGTTTTGGGAAGCTCTTGATATCTACTATTCAAAAATGCAATGGAAAAAGTGCGACATTTCAGCCCAAAAATAAGCCTTATTGACCCTCCTCCTTTGGAGTAATTTTCATTTAATGACTATAAATAATAGGAGAAGTCATTACATGCAAAATCTCGTAGAATCGATGAAATAATTCAGAATATGTTAACATAATTAATATTTGTAATTTTCATCTTTTTTAATGTATTTGAAAATAAAATAGTTTTCAATATCACAATTATGCCATTTGGAATTATATATTTTTTAACACATGATATTATAAAATTTCTAAATTATATTTATTAAAGACGACAAATTAATTATTAAGAATATATACATAAAATATAAATTTTTATTGTTACTGAATTACATATAGATTAAATTTATAAATTTGATATTAAATATTTTGAATTAAAAAAATTACTAACAAAATGAAACAGGTATCTTTGTTTACACCTTACTGTCATCAATGTTATCATAATATGAAAAACAAAAATTGGTGCAATTTCTTTGTATTTCTGATGTTATAAATTTATTCATAAGTAAATTCATTATTTTCAATTTTGATTGAAGATAAATTCATGATTTTTAATCTATTTACTGTTTTTATTAGTATTTTTTTTTACGTTTTCATCTTTAAAGAAAATGTATTTTATATATGCATAAGTTTCTAGATAAAATACTATTACATTTTTATATACTTTACGTTTTTTTTTGGAATATTATATTCATTATTTATTAATTATTTCATACAAGCAAAAGATTCTGAAATTTGGTGAGTTTTCACATTCTTGTTTGAATTTGTTTTACACACGAAGTTATGAACTTGAAAAATGTGTAATATTACTTTAAAGATTTCATGCGATCTGAGTAAAACATAAAACAAATAATTACTGCATATTTTCAAAGTGTATACTTTAAAGAATATTTCCTTGAAATGCATTATTAAAATTGGGATATTGTATAGAACATTAAGTTGTACAACTTTTAGAGCACTACTATGGTGGATAAATATCTAAGAAAATATAAGGAAGTGTAATTAATTGCACAAACACATAAGAAATCGTAATAAATGAAGTAACGTTTTCACTGATTTTTACAACAGAAAAATAATGTTATGCTGAACAAACTTAAAAAATGAAAAAAATAATTTTTTAAATATATTTTTCATACTAATTGTAATACAAGGTTTTTATATTAAAAAATAATTTTTTTATAAATTTTTTAAACAAATAAAATAGCGAAAAAATTTTAAAAATTCATGTTGCATTTTGGTAGTTATTTTAGCGCGATTTTTTCTCGTTTTCTCTTCGTTATTTGTAAATGTTTAAATTTTATAATGACGAATTAACAAAACATATTAGTGTTATTTTAAATTATTTTAAAGGAAATAATCTTCCCAAGAATTTTCAAACGTGGCAATATAAATATCCATGGTTGATATCCAATAGCGATAATAAAGCCGTTTGCAAAACTTGCATTGAAGCTACAGAAAAAAATGTGACTCTTCCAACTGACTATCGTTCTGCACCTTCTAAAGAAGCTTTTGTTGTCAACGGGTATAATAATTGGACGAATGCTGTTAGAGGATTTAAAAATCATGAAAGCAGCAACTTTCACCAAAGTGCGATACTAGGGCTTTCGAATAAGAAAACGATTGTGGAGTCTCTTAGTTCTGCAAAACTTAAGGAAATGCAAGAAGCTCGTATCGCTCTTCAAAAAATATTCACTACAGTTCTTACGATAGCCAAACAAGGGTTAGCTCTTCGAGGTGGAGATAATGATGAACACTCTAATTTGCAACAGTTTCTGATGATGCGAACGGAAGATGTCCCGGAATTAAAAAAATGGCTAGACAAATCTCGTTCTGGATATACCTGGACTCATCATGACATAATCAATGAAATGTTACAAATCATGGCTCATGAGATCATACGCAAATATCTTCTGGAGATTAAAACAGCAAAACAATACGCTTTGATTTGTGATGAAACATCAGATATTTCTAGACAAGAGCAGATATCGATATCTGTAAGAATAGTTCCTGACAACTTATCAGTGAAAGAAATATTTCTTGGATTTTATGCGACCACTGATACGAAATCAGATACATTCTTCACTATAATTCAAGATTTCCTTCTTCGATTCAACTTAAATATGTTTGATATGAGAGGGCAATGTTACGACGGTGCGTCTAATGTTAGTGGCCGATTAACAGGTCTTCAAGCCAGAATTCGTGACATAAAGCCACGTGCACTGTATGTTCACTGTGTAGCACATAAACTAAATCTAGTGGTTCAAGATGGATTAGAAAATGTTTTATATGCGAAAAGTTTTATCGGAACCGTAAAAGATCTAATAAATTTCATCAGAGATTCTCCAAAACGACTAGCGATATATAAGAATCTTCAATCTGAAAATGCTCCAAACCTCTCTCCATTTTGCCCAACAAGGTATTTGAATATTGTCTCAATATATACGTACGTCCAAGCGAAAAGGGCCCACTGCAGGTATTGGAGTTATGCTTACAGACATATTCCTGGTTGAATTTGAAAGCTTTTTAGAGATCGCTCGACCCAATAGCTTAAAAAACCGTGGAATTATTGAGTTTCAAAATTGGAAGTGTCAAAAACCTAGTTTCGAGAAAAATGTAATCAAAGTTCTTTACGCTATTTCTCCATATATCTTTATACGTCTGCGTGAAAAGAATCTACTTAGGCAATATTGAAGTTATGTATGTTTTATAGTTAAGTTATATTTCTGGTTAAATTTGGGACATTTTCAGAGGTCAATCGACCCGATGACAAGGTCGTGAAGTTTTAGAGGTTTTAAGTCGGAAATCTGACAAAGTGAGCCCTTTTTCTAAATTATTTTTTATAAATAAACCTAATGTTACAGATTTTAATAACTTTATAAATAAAATTCCGAAACGTTGCTTACATAAAAATAATTATTTCAGATGGTGTATGAGAGTAAAGTCGTTAAAAATTCTTAAAGAAAATTACGAAGCTACAATTTCATTCTTCGAAGATGTTAAAAATGGAGTTGACACTGAGGCTTCTGCGGCGTCTAAAGCGTCAGGGTTTTTTAAACAAATGGAGGATTTTGAATTTTATTTCTTTTTGGTGATTATGATTGATATCTTCGAAAGAGTTGAGCAATTAAATAAAGAGTTACAAAAAGTTGAACTCCAAATTAGCGAGTCATATCAAAAAATTTTGGCGATTCAAAACTCATTTCAGCAATTACGCAAGTCCGAGTCAAGTTTCAATACTATTTGGAGTAAAATCATCGCAGAAGCCAAAAAGATGGAATTATCCGAGCCCAAGATTCCTAAACTGCGTAGAGCTCCTAAACGACTTGACCCTAACACTACTAATAACCATACCTTTACTACCGCGGAAGAATATCACAGGAAGTTATATTTCGAAATTTTGGATCAAGTTATCACGTCTATGAATGATCGTTTTCATCCAAAAACTATGCATTTTTTAAATGAAATCGAGGATTTTATTATTGGAAAAGAAGTTGATGTTCAGAAGATAATTTCGTTTTATAATCGTCCTATGTCTAAAAATGAGTTCAACGGAGATCAACTTCGCTTACATCGATCAATGTTGTTGGACGTTATGAAGCAAAAAAACGTGTATCCAACTTCAGTGAGGGACGTCATCGATTTCATGAAAAAAAATCCAGCGATTACAATAAGACTATTACTACAGATAACAAAGTTGATCAAATTACTGCTAACGATTCCCGTATCGTCGTGTACAGCTGAAAGATCATTCTCAGCTCTTCGGCGATTGAAATCATATTTACGATCCACAACGTTGCAAGTCCGATTAAATTCTATAGCAATTCTTCATATTCATTCGGAAGATACGGAATTAATTGATATTGATAAAGTAATGGATGAGTTTATTAGTCGAAACAGTACGAGACGTAATGCGTTTGTTTTATCTAATGTAAATAATAAGATAGTTAATTAAAATGTAATCAGTCTTTATTGTTATTATATCTATTCTTTATGATATATACGTTTATTTATTCCTGCAAAAAAAGTAAATCTGTATGAGATCTACAATTCATCAAAATTCGGTCCAGAGAAATATCTAGTGTATTGCTTTTATTATCATTATTTTATTTCATTTGTAACGATGCACCCATCGTCCTAACCAGAACACTCGGCTGGACGCCGCTGCACCGCCAAT